TGCGTTTGAAAGAATGCGAAGCTCTGAAGGATCGCAAAGGTCTTGGTGCTATTGTTAGAAACCGTTTATTACATGATGGTCTGGTTGTTATCGTTGGCCATCCTGGAGGAAGCGAAATGTACGAGGAAGCATGCGTTGTTGTCAGCAACCACTCTTGGCGTGAGATCCTCAAGCAAAGGGATGAGAAATGTAAGCGAAGAAATGAGGAATTTCGGCAAAGGCATGATGCAGATTTACAGATTTCTCCTGGCGTGCACATGACCAATGAATATTTACTACAGTCGGCGAACAGATATGAAGAACAAAGATGTCTTCCATACGACACAACTCTATTTTCTGGTGCTAGCGGTTCTCCTGTTTTTGATCTAAATGGGAATATCGTTGCAATGCACACGCAGGGATATTTACTAGACGTCGAGGGAAGAAAATGTTCCGTGATGGAATTTGGCGTTCAGTTCAATGCCATGTGCGAAAATTTGAGAGAACGGAATCTTCTTGAACAATTCTTCCCAAATTATGACTTGGAACATCATGAAGAGCGAATGGACAAAGGTTAATTGCACTGCGAGTCTTTACTTAAAGAGTGACACTCAATACGATAATACTGGTTACGATGATTATACGTATAGAAATTTCATGTCAAACGTCAGCTGAATGAACCAATCTGAATCTCAACCCAGGCTGAAGTCTCTCCTTGTAATCATTCTCCAAGGCAATGAAGACATAACTAAGAATCCCACTGTATATAAGAATAATAGCATGGGGGGGGTGTTGATAAAAAGGGTGCGTCTTCAACTATATTTGCCTGAATTGGGGGGGGGGCGGCCTCAAACTGAAAAATATCTGACAAGGTGTGACCCTAATTTTTTAATACTTTCCTATTCATTTTGAAAATATTTAAAACTTTCTTAGTTCCTGTATTCGGAGTTTCCACAGTTTATTGCGTATACGCAATTCACCATAGGCCAGTAGGAGTAAATAACAACCATGTTGAATACTGGTCTCCAGTACTTGTCCCATTACTTATTTTACACCAAAAAATATAACGAATTAAATGTCGGAGGGGAGGTCCTAAAATTTTTTAGATGAAGGTGGGGCATCTTGAAAATAAAGGTCTTGCGATTGGGAGCGGCTCTAAAAAATGTTCAATATTTGGTATTTATCACCCACCGCCCCCCACCCCTCCCATTATTAATGACCGGTCCCTAAGTGGGAAAGTTGTGGCTATGTTGTGTTCATATGGCAAAAAAATCCCAGTCAGCGACATCTCGCCTGTCAACGAACGAGATCTCGGTACACGGGAAAACTTTTTGTCTCGTATGAACGCAGTGTAACTTTTCATATTATTTTCATAACAAGGCGAGATCTCACTTGTCAACTTGTCGAAATGTTTTCTCGCTAACTGGGATAATTTTTCCGCATATGAACAGGCCCTTAGATTACATTTTCGATGTCCTCTAATAATTGACTGCATTTAAAAATCTGAAACATAGCTACTGAAATTTTTTCAGCGCACCCTGTACAGGGTGTCCCCAAAAAAGTACCCTCTATTTAACAATTATACCATGAGCTTGAGTCGTATATGAGCTGATAGCCATGTACGACGAGAGCGAATGGTATAACTGTTTTATAATATAATCTAACATAAACTGAAGCAATAATTAATTATTCACTGTTACTGTACAATGTGTTGACAATTTGTTCGGCCAAAAATCGCTTGAAAACTTGAAATACTTTTGAAGTTTTGTTTTGCAATTCAAAGACGAAGTGAAAGAAATGGTTTTAGAACCTCTCACAGGAAAGCTCAGATATATTATACAGATGTTTGGTACTATAGTAAGTGCTTGCTGACTGCAAATTAATTTGTCGTTCATTGCAAATTTTTCTGAATGATTTATATTCTCAATGCACATGTTTTTTTCGCTGTTGTTTCGGTATTAATTCTTTAAAAACTTGTATTTAAACTAATTTCTACGTAATAAATGTATTTTGCTAACCTGTCAAATTTTTTTTGAGTGTTTTTCCTTGTACTATTATCTTTCTCAAAGCGAGTATTTTCCTTTTTTCTGCATGCTTCGCAAAACTCATGTAGTTTTTGGACCGCCATCTTGTTTTTCGCTACTCACCGTATATGAGCTGATATACGGCGACTAATTCAACCAATCAGATTGCAGAACAGCTCATATACGGTGGATGACTACATTATAAATAGAAATTATCCTATTGTTGTTAAGCACAGGATTTCATGGGCCTGGTAATTAAAATTCCAATTCAATTGTGTTTACGCACTCTTGTGTTCAGCATAGTGCTTATAGCATTCAAATTATACCAATAGGATAATTTCTATAGAGGGTACTTTTTGGGGGACACCCTTTATAATATAGGTGTGCAAAAGTTCGACTATACCGTAATTGGTGAGAATTAGCTGTGCAGCTGAAAGACCCGTAAAAATATAGTAACTCAAAATACTTTCTAGAAATGTAGAACTCTACCGTGTTTTCAACATGCTTCGAAGCTTCCTGAGTTTGCTGATTATCAAAACAATGAAAAATCGATAAAACTAAAACATTCTGATCTTCGAGTCGTGCCTGGATGACATACAGAGTGTCCCCAAAAAACCCAAAACTATTGAAATGACGTATTGTTAAAATTTGAATCTCCTAGCACTAAGCTGAGCGCAAAGATGCGTAAAATATGGACAAGGCTGTCAAGGGTGCATACATTAAATGTTGACTTATTAAGAAATTAAAATACTTTGTAACGCGCACGACGGTCTGCTCTTGGGAATTTAAAACAACTTCTTAAACGGTTTCTTTATAGAAACCGTTGGGACACCCTGTATTTGTTTTAAAGTAAATTATGCAAAAACCGTTTCGTTGCATAAACAACTTAAAAGTTTCAATTACATTTGCATTTCTAGTATCTCTTACTGCACGCTGTGTGTTAAGGAATCCGTCTCGATATTCTTCAACAGAACGCCTTAAATATGAAACGAAATCGCTCAACACGTCGTGTCCTTTCACCTTACCTTTCAAAAATGTGCTGGGGAAGTTTACTGCGACAAAATGGCTCGAACAACGATTACTTTGAGCTATATCTTACGCCTGTATAGGACATTAAACATACGCTCCAGGAATTTATACGCCGAGCATGTTGACTTTAACTGGAGAATGCCAGTTTAGAAACATCTGTATAAGCGTTGGTCAAGAATGTACGATATATGATGTGGTTTTTACACGGAAATGGATCGAAAAGCTTAATACAATATCTATTTGAGTTCGCTAACAAGAGCTGGGTTTTCAAGCAAAGCTTTTGTAATACAGTATTGTGTATGGTCACTCGTGGCAATTTGGTATTAAGGTATAGTATTACTGGATGCATTTCGGTTGGAAGTATGTTTAAGATCATGAATGCATTTCTAAATGTGATAAAACACAGGCAGTCAGGCAGGAGACTGCATTTGATAGGGTATTGTATGTAAAATAAATTCTTAATATATAGATTCATTGTGGTGCCACAATTATGATTTGTGCATGTGATTTTCACTTCTGTGACACGTCTGCATTTTTCAAGATAATCTTGTATACTGTAGGGTCCTGTCGGATTTTGTGGTTAAAATTTCGCTTTAGGCCCATATTAGACGTCCAATTTCCGACGAATTAGATTTGCTGAATCCTTTATTCGGGATAAATTGACGTTTTCTGAAATGGTTTTACTAAACCCATTTCTCGTAGATCTCCCATACAATTTCAATTATTTTTGGCCATACTATATTTTAATAATTTTCTATACGGATTTCGTCTCGTACTATCATTGGTCTGACTTCCATTGACTTCAAGTTTTAAAAACGCACCGTCGTTACAGGTCTGCAAACAAGTTGCGGCGTTACAAATCTGTTCACAAGCCAAGTTGTTTTCGCACTGCTTGTTCCCAGTTGTTGTAATAAGTTTGGAACAAGCTGTTAGCAACTTGTAACAAGCTTGATGGCATTGTCACTTGTTACAAGGTTGTTCTAACAAGTCTGATACAGTCATGACATAACAAGAATATTACAAGGTTGACGACACAAGGTTGGAACAATATTGTTATATCATATGACTGTAACGAAGGTGTTGGAACAACCTTGGAACAAGTCTGATAATATCAACAAAGTTGTTACAAGTTGTTAAGTACTTGTTCCAAACTTGTTGACAACATGGGACAAGCAGTGCGAACACAGCTTGTTGACGGGTTGTTGGCAGACTTGCTATAAGATGTGAGATTTTTACGCGTGTATGTGACATCCAGAGTCGTCCTTTGGTAAGCCTTCGAAGGATTCTTGGTAGTTCTCATTAAATATCCGAACTTTTAGGTCAACGATTACGAATTTCCAAATGTCGCCATGGTTACGAAGGAAAATTATGTGAGATAGATATTGATTGGTGTGACGTCGTAAGGAATAACGGTTCTGTACCATGTGATTATGGAATGTGACAAGATGGCCAGTTCAACTATACACTGAACACGACTGCATTAAAGATGAAGATGAATGTGACTAGCATGCTTTGCGAGAATTCTGCTGTCTGTATTCATAAGTCAAATGCAACCTACTTTGGAATCGATCAAAAGTGAAAGGTACGGATTATTGAACAGATTGTCTCTTTTCTGTGTTTTTTTCTATGTTTAGTCTTTAGACACAAATGTGGTCCTTGTTCGTCATGTGTGCATGTATTGTGTTTTCGTCCAAATATATACTATTTATCGCTTCCCTACATATATTAAACCACCATCGGCAAACTGTTTGTCAGGTTGAGCTCGGTTTTCTGTGCTGCCGAATACTACGAGACCAGTCAAAGCCTTTATGGCATAATTATGGCTTATGTGCCCGGTTGTTGGCACATAGCCGCTTTATTGTTTTAATCAATTTTTAATAATTAACAAGAAAAATTATTAATTAATAACTATATAATATTTAGCACAGAAAAGGTGGGGGCATTACTAACGCCCACTACACATAACGTATCTATATAAGTTCAACATATCGCGTCCAACAACGGGGAGGAGGGTGGGTAATTCTCTTCCATCCAATTTCTTGATGTGAACTGCAGCCCTCGTGGAATAGGAAAGGACAGATAGCCCGCTTCACCACTGATAAATACCGAAATTTCCAGTCACGTGACTATACCTAAATTAACTTGCGCGCGCAAATTACTTATTTTCGCATAATTAATTTCAACTATAAATTATTCCGGGAAGCAATAAAAACTCTTATCGCTGTGGCAATAAGTTCCTTTATCGCTTCCCTACATATATTAAACCACCATCGGCAAACTGTTTGTCAGGTTGAGCTCGGTTTTCTGTGCTGCCGAATACTACGAGACCAGTCAAAGCCTTTATGGCATAATTATGGCTTATGTGCCCGGTTGTTGGCACATAGCCGCTTTATTGTTTTAATCAATTTTTAATAATTAACAAGAAAAATTATTAATTAATAACTATATAACATTTAGCACAGAAAAGGTGGGGGCATTACTAACACCACAAGTCTCCTTGGGATAAAGGAGACACACCCCACCCCAACATGACAAATCGTTTGCAGATGATCGTGAAAAAATATCTACATATACTGATACCATATGTTACGAAAACCTCAATCTATGTCAGTTTCACTGCACATGCTATTGTCAGTCAAAAGCAATGAACTTGCACTGGTCTACATAATAGCAGTACTATCAATTACCTAGTTGACTATATACTATATACAAGCCTCTACTGAAATAAATATGATCAGCTGAAATGTGAACTTTACCCCTGTGTCAGTTCAATATCCAACCGATCACGAATACGTGTCGCCAGATGCGATAAAATACCAGTTTCTAGCGAAATAACTATCATCAGCTGAAATGTGAACCTTACCCCTGTGTCAGTTCAATATCCAACCGATGACGAATAAGTGTCGCCAGAGGCGATAAAATACCGTATTATACCAGTTTCTAGCGAAATAAATATCATCAGCTGAAATGTAAACCTTACCCCTGTGTCGGTTCAACGTCCAGCGATGACGAAAAAGTAAGATAAAATACCTAGGTAATCGCCAGTTTCGGGCGAAATAAACATGCATGATCAGCTAAAATGTGAACCTTACCCCTGTTTCAGTTCAACATCCAGCCGGCAATGACGTTTGAGAAAAACAAAACATTTGTTGTACATACTGTTATTAACAAACTGGATAAATTAAATTTAGAAACGTGAATTGAGGTTATATATATGATAGTCGATCCGGAATGACTGTTGGTGATGAATGAACATTGGCCGATGCAAGCTGTGTCAACGTAGAAACCTTTATCCGAGATACAGGATTCCCTGAAACACTTTTTAATCCCGATATGTGCCGCGAGTATACGAAATAAAGATATACTTAATGCTATTAATTAAAAACAAGCAAGCACCAGTTTACGTACAAATATCATAACAGTCGAATCCCAAAATGGAACCGAATAGCCTTATTATAATATCAACCAATGCAGCATCATCTGTTAAGAACGTTATACGCTGAATTACCACCGCCTCGCAAATTGCCGAGTGCGAGTAGGGTATAGCGACTATGCTGGGCCGATCGGATGCATTTTGTAAGATCGTATTAAAGATCAACAAGCCGTCGTAACAAGGCACGACGTGGCACGACCACATGCAAAACTAAATTAATTAAGCAAGGCAATCGAGGATTGGATTACCTTTTTACGCAAGTGACTTAATTTAAATTCCGCAGTAATAAATAGCGCTGTCATCACTGAGCTATAAATATATGGAGAGCGCAACTATAGATACAGAAATTGAAGCCGGAAGTCGCGCGCGGCCGCCATCTTACTGTGACCACCTTGAGGAGTGAGCTATTGTGATTAATACGGTATTTTCAACTGTTTTGTTCTGTTATCTCGCAATAGAGGAACAAATCAAGTCAAATATGGTATTTTAACCAAAAGCACATGTTCAAGAATGTTGGGGACCTCTTTTACATTCAAATGAACTCAATCGTAAAGAAACGTGTCTATATTTTTGACGACGTTTCTGAGTGCGACTGAGATGAATCATGAATACAGCTGTGACAACACCTTTCAAATGGGAATTTCTGATAGAGATCGGTGAATTATACCATAAGTTAACACATGAGAAATTGGTCATGAACTTTATTGTTTTGGAAATGGTGAATTTTATATGGACATTCACAAGACTCATGTTTGTTTCTATCAACCTAATCAACGCAAACAAATTATGTCGCTTGTGGGATTTGTTAAAGGAACAAATGATTCAGGATGGTAGAAAGAATAGCAGGTGCGTTGTAGTGATCTTATTTATGTTAATGGTGGGTGCTTAAACGCAATGCCTTGTGAGAATATATACCATCCCATCCCTGCTTGTGTAATATGTTCCTTATATTAAAGTCATAGTCATGATTAATTATCACTCTTCTGAGAAGACCTCAATGGTGTTTTATTCCAAAGAAGCAAATTAAAATTAACAAGACGCCTACTCAGGCGTTCACTCCGGGTACAGGGCCTTAACTAAGCGCAAAGCTACTTTAACGTATGCTTCTATACGGCAATGAAGGTATCTTTAATGCATGATATTTAGCATATTAAAGTTGGAAAAGTGGGAGAACAACACCACTTGACCAGGTGACTAAAAACATATGCAATGATCATAATATTTTATAGCATAATAATAAAAGGACATTGTGACACTAATTATCTCTAATAAAAGCTATCTAGTTCTTTATTAAAAGTTCTATTTAAAACATGCGTAGGAGTGTTTTTTCAAGTCGTATATAATAAGTCGGAGGCCGTATTTTACAAATATTTTATGGGTTTTTTTATTGTCGAGGGTAGAAATTCGATGGTGAAAAGCTTGAGGGTACATTTTAATAATTTAACAAAATAATAATTTAAGTTCGTGTTCACTTACTTTACTTTTAATTTTTAGCTCTTATTTTTATATGCAATTATTAATTTTTTATATGCGATTACTTTTTATATGACGAAATATTACTACATAAAAATAGACATGCCGATCAAAAGCGACAGTCGAGATATTTTCAAACGGCGTGGTGCATTATCTGCGTTATCTCGGATTGCATGTCGCAAGTTACTGTATCAGTCTATTCACTATATGGTCTATTGAATCAAAGTAATCAGGACTTGTTTACACCTTTCCATTGCCATACGCCTTTTCCGGGTTCGCGACGCCATCTTCAAAGTATTGTTTTCGCTATTGTGCTTGCCCCACTTGCAAATTTACCTATTGGAAATGCCCGCAAATTTCTACCCTCGACAATAAAAACCATAAAATATTTTAGAAATACGACCCCGGACTTTTTATATATGACCCTCGACTTTTTTATATATGATTTTTCGACCCTCGCTTCCCACCCTTGACCCTCGAGAAGAACTCCTGAAACTGAATTACTAAAAATAGCTAACGTAAACAAACCACATTTATCAAACACGCAAAGAAAATTATTTAAAAAGTAATATATTGTTAGTCGTGTCATATAGTTAATTGTCAACACTTTTTCAATGCATGGTAGTAAGTTTATAACTGACACCAAGTTATGTTGATATTTTGTTTATACAGATTGATTGTTTTAATTTGTAAGGCTTCTGTAAGTTTGTTATTATCAAACGTTTAGATTGTTCTAGTAATGATTTTACTTTAAGACCAAGACAATGCAGCTGTCGAGACCGAGTTTTAGTACTCTATAAATAAAACATTAAACTGTGTAATAGAAGTGATAGTGTTGGGTAAAGCTATCTACAGTTATATATATTTTATACGCGCTTTTGTCTAATTCAAGCGTGGTAGACAATATTGCCAATATTGTTGTGGTTTGCGATATAAATTGCCTCGCGAATCGAAGACTTTCAGATATGTCATATAGCGTCGAATAGATTTGTGCGTTGTTTGTACTTCAATTTTGGCCACGAGGCACAAATTAGGGAGACTTAAAGAACACGAGTGACGAGTGTTAACACAATTTAACTACGTACAGTGTTGACAAAATTAAAAAATACCGGGCTAACGTCAGTAACGAACCAAGCCAGTTGTCGATCAGAATTAGCTTTCCAATAACGGCAACCGCTACTAAACACGCGAGAATGTCTCGAATTTCGATTTGTATTTATATGAACTGTGGTCATTGTATAAGAACGAGTGTATGAGAACCCCTCCATTTGATAATATTTACTGTAAATAGAACTAAATACATTGTAAACACAACGCTCGCTCCGATCTACTACGAATGGCGGCTATTTTTAGATATTTCGTATTTTTGTAGTGCGTTGCGTACGGTGCACCTGTGGAAGTGCACACTTGCGTCGCCTAAGAAAAAA